ACAACAACAGCAGCAGCAACACCAATCACAATAACAACAAGAATCAATTAAAGACTGTTCGCTCTTACCTGCTCACGTGCCATTCAACAAGTATATCCCGAACCCTCGATACCCGCCTTCTTCGCCTTCAATCGTACCCCCTTAGGGGTTATCCTTGTTACCAGCAACGCGTACTTCGTGCAGCCCCCAAGGCAGGGGAAAAGAGGACGGATGGAAGGAAGGGACAAGGGGCAGGCGGGTTGCTGAAGCGTGCGTCCTGCATGAATCGCGAGGAAGTCTCGAGCGATAGCAAGATTTCCAAGTAAGTCGTTAGGAAATCCACAGCGAGAGCGTGATGCCTGAGTGTCGAGGGCGCGACGTCTGAATAAATTGGAAGGACCTCCCACGCGAGAGCGCGATTCCTTTATACGTTGTCAGGACGTACGGCAAGAGAGCGCGATTTGGAAATCAATTGTGAGGAAGTATCAGGCGGGAGCTGTTATTCGGGACCCAACAAGCCAATTTGGCGACACCCACTTTTAGAGGCCTCCAAGATGGGGTCCGAGTAGATGGGGTCGGAGGATCGCGCCGCATCGCCGATACATCGGCGATGCATCGGTGATGCACCGGCGACGCGTCGTCGACGTCGGCGATGCATCGGCGACGTCGGCGTGGAGAACATCGGGCTCCACATCGAGCCGCATCGCCGATGCATCGGTGATGCGGCGCGATCCTCCGACCCCATCTAGGAGGCCTAGAACTTTCATTTGTAAAAAACCAAATGCGAACCCCAGGAGGAACGTTCTAAATGAAAAATACAGTGGCTACTGGGCAGGGGGGATCAGCAATAATTATTCTTCAGACATGGGAAAACGACAACAACAGCAACAATAACAACAACAACAACAACAACAACAACAACAACAACCACAACAATCATTTCAAGGCTGCTCGCTCTTACCTGCTCGCGTGCCGTTCGACACGTATTTCCCAAACCCTCGATTCCCGCCCTCTTCGTATTCGATCGTGCCCCCAATCGGGGTATGTCAGGAGCAGTGTTGTTGTTTCTGTAAGCCAGGGGCCAACAAAATAGTTTGGTGACCCCACACTTCCCTTTGTAAAAAAAAACTGGTGCGAGCCCTGGGAGAAGCACTTTAAATGAAAACCCAATGGTCATCTGGCAGGGGGGATCAACAACAGCAACAGCAACAGCAACTTCCACAGCATCAACAACAACATCATTTTACGTATGTTCGCTCTTACCTGCTCGCGTGCCACTCGACACGTATATCCCAAACCCTCGATACCCGCCCTCTTCGTCTTCGATCGTACCCCCCTGGGGGTATATCTTCCTTACCTGCCGCGTGTGATTGGTGCAGCCCCTGAAATAGGGGAGGAGACAACAGAAGCAAGGGGGAGGGAGAAGATTGAGCACGGGAGAGATTAGCAGGAGGGTGGCTAGGAGCAGAAAACACATGGCAAAACCAGACTGGTTTTTCTGGCGGGGAGACCCTAGCGGGCGGGTCGGGAAGGCGGGCCCAAGCGGCCAGGTCAAGCAGGCGGGCTGCTGAAGCGTGAGTCCTGCATGAATCGCGAAGAAATCTCGAGCGATAGCGCGATTCCTACGCGAACCGTCAAAAAAGCCAGATCGAGAGCGCGGTTCCTGAGTGTCGAGGGCGCGGCGCTTGAATAAATTGCGGGGAAATCCCCGCGAGAGCGCGATTTCTTTGCAATTTGTAAAGAATTCCCGCGAGAGAGCGCGATTTTGACATACATTGCGAAGGAGCCTCAGGCGGAAGCCGCTGTTGTTGTAAACCGGAGGCCAAGGGCACAGCTCGGTGGCCCCAAGCTTCTGTGATAATAAGCAAGGTGCACGCCCAAGGAGGAGCATGCGAATTGAAACACACTGCAGTCACCGAAGGGGGGATCAACAATAATCAACTCTGTAGGTGGGAATTCACCACCACCAACAACAACAACAACAATCATTTTACGTCTGTTCGCTCTTACCTGCTCGCGTGCAATTCAACTGCATATCCCAATACCTTGGTCCCCGCCCTCTTCGTATTGGATCGTACCCCCTCGATCCTCTTCGTATTGGATCGTCCCCCCTCGGGGGGTATATCTTCCTTACCTGTCGCGCGTACTTGGTGCAGCCCCTGAAACAGGGAAAGAAAAAACGAATGGAAGGGGGAGGGAGAAGGATTGAGCACGAGATTAGGAGGAGGGGGGTTAGGAACCAAAAGCACGTGGCAGAACGAAACGGGCCCATCGGGCGGGTTAGACCCTAGCCTAGCGGGCAGGTTAGACCCTAGCCTAGCGGGCGGGTCGGGAAGGCGGGCCCAAGCGGCCAGGTCGAACAGGAGGGTTGCTGAAGCGCGAGTCCTGCATGAATCGCGAGATCTCGAGCGATTGCGCGATTCCCAAACAAATCGCGAGAAATGCCAAAGCGAGAGGGAGATTCCTCAGCGTCGAGAGCGCGGCGTCCGAATCAATCCAAGCGAGAGCACGATTCATGCTAACCTTGTCGGGAAGTCCCGCGAGAGAGCGCGACTTGGGAATACATTATGGGAAAGTATCAGGCGGGAGCTGTTGTTGTTGTTGTTGTTGTTGTTTGGTGGCACACCGCTTTCCCTTGTACAAAAAACCGGGTGCAAACCCCGAGAACAACATTCGAATTGAAAAAGCACTGGTTACTGGGCTGCGGGGATCAGCAGCAATCATTATTTAGACATGAAAAGTCAACAACAACGACGGCAACAACAGCACCAGTCTTTTAAGACTGTTCGCTCCTATATGCTAGCGTGCTTCTCAACACCTACATCCCAAATGCTCAGTCACCGCTCTCTTCTTCTTCTTCGATCGTACCCATAGGGGGCATGTTTTCCCTACCTGCCACGTGCATTGAGCGCAGACCTTGAAACAGTGGAAGAGAGGACGGATGTAAGGGGTACGGAGAAGGATGGAGCACGAAAAAAGTTAGCAGGAGGGGGGCTGAGGACAGAAAGCACGTGACAGAACCAGACTGGCAGATTGGGCGGGCAGACCCTGGCGGGCAGGTCGGCAAGGCGGGCACAGGCAACCGGGTCGAGCAGACGGGTGGCTGAAGCGTGAGTCCTGCATGAATCGCGACGAAGATCTCGAGCGATAGCGCGATTCCCAAGCAAATCGCGAGAAAGGCCAAAGCGAAAGGGTGATTCCTGAGTGTCGAGGGCGCGGCGTTTGAATAAATTGCGAGGACGTCCCACGCGAGAGCGCGATTTCTGCATATATTGCAAGGGCGTCCCGCGCGAGAGTGCGTTTTTTTCCTTTTTACCTAACAGCGAAGACTGATAGGTTTCTAGAGGAGTCAAAAGGGAGCATCCTGATTCCCCAGGGGGGTCTGGGCAGGATCCGGGGGATGCCAGGGAAAACCGGGGACTCCCCAGAACCCTATCCCAGGCCACATTTTGACTGCCCGGAGCCAACAGAACACCATTCCCAGGCCACATCTTGAATGCCCGGAGCCAACTGTAGGCCACTTCGTGTTCTTCGTGCTCCCAGAACACGATTCCCAGGCCACATTTTGAATGCCCGAAGCCAACTGTAGGCCACTTCGTGTTCTTCGCCTTCCCAGAACACCATTCCCAGGCCACATTTTGAAAGCCCGGAGCCAACTGTAGGCCACTTCGTGTTCTTCGTGTTCCCAGACACCATTCCCAGGCCACATTTTGAATGCCCGGAGCCAACTGTAGGCCACTTCGTGTTCTTCGTGTTCCCAGAACACAGTTCCTGTACCATATTTTGATTGCCCGGAGCCAACTGTGGGCCACTTCGTGATCTTCGTGTTCCAACACCAGTCTTGTACCATATTTTGATTGCCCGAGCTGAGGCCGAGGCAGGCTAAGGCCGAGGCAGGCTAAGGCTGAGGCTGAGGCACGCCGAGGCAGGCTGAGGCTGAGGCTGAGGCAGGCTGAGGCTGAGGCTGAGGCTGAGGCTGAGGCAGGCTGAGGCTGAGGCCGAGGCAGGCCGAGGCTGAGGCTGAGGCAGGCTGAGGCTGAGGAAGGCTGAGACTGAGGCTGAGGCTGAGACTGAGGCTGATGCAGGCTGAGGCTGAGAGGCTGACGCTGAGGCTGAGGCTGAGGCTGAGGCTGAGGCCGAGGCAGGCTGAGGCTGAGGCTGAGGCTGAGGCAGAGGCTGAGGCTGAGGCAGGCTGAGCTGGCCGAGACAGGCTGAGGCTGAGACTGAGGCTGAGGCTGAGGATGAGGCCGAGGCAGGCCGAAGCTGAGACAAGGTGAGGCTGAATGGGGGGGAAGGGGGGGGGAGGAGGAGGGGAGGCTGAGGCAGGCTGAGGCCGAGGCAGGCTGAGGCCGAGGCAGGCTGAGGCTGAGGCTGAGGCAAACCGAGGCAGGCTGAGGCTGAGGCTGAGGCTGAGGCTGAGGCAGGCTGAGGCTGAGGCAGGCTGAGGCTCAGGCAGGCTGAGGCTGAGGCTGACGCAGGCTGAGGCCGAGGCAGGCTGAGGCTGAGGCTGAGGCAGGCTAAGGCTGAGGCCGAGGCAGGCTGAGGCTGAGGCTGAGGCAAGCCGAGGCAGGCTGAGGCTGAGGCTGAAACTGAGGCAGACTGAGGCATCCGTAGGAATAAATAGGAATCTTTAGGAATCCCTAGGAATCCTTAGGAATCCGTAGGCATCCTTAGGAATCCGTAGGCATAGTTAAGCATCCGCAGGAATCATTAGGAATCCTTAGGAATCCTTAGGGTTCCTCAGGAATCCTTCGGAATCCCTAGGAATCCCTAGGAATCAGGATTCCTAAGGATTCCTAAGGTTTCCTAAGGATTCCTATGGATTCCCAAGGATGCCTAAGGATGCCCTAGGAATCCCTAGGAATCCCTAGGAATCCTTAGGATTCCATTGGATCCTAAGGCCGTTGCCACTGCGACTGTCATTGCGAATGCGACTGCGACTGCGAGAACAGCAGAATTCTACAAGTGGATTCTCACCTGAGTCTTAAGGGGAATGCTTCCAGGTATGCTTATACACATCGCTGGTAGGTTGCTTTGCCGGGATACTTTTCTCGCGGTTGACGACGGACCAGCCTCGGAGCATGCGCGCAGCTTGCATTAGCATTCTAGCGTGCGAATAATGCCTGGCACGGCGGTCCTAAACCATGTACAAGAAAAGGCCTGCGCAACGCAATACGATCGCGCTACAGCTGGCAAGACGTCGGGGATGCCCCAAAGACTGGCATATTGAGGGCGCCTGAAAGATTGAAGACAGCAGAAAGGCCCGCTGGCCCATCGCGTTGCGCCCCAGACATCCCAGAGCCACGCAAGAGGAACGCCGACGGCATCGAGCATGCAAAACTCCAATGCAAGACTCACCAATGGAGGCGACCCCATCATTTTGAGTCGTCGTGCCCGTGCCTTCCATACCCCGTGCAGAGCTTGGCTCGCCATCTCAGACGGCCACAGGCCGCGCCCCCTTCTGATCCTGATCCTGATTCGATGCTAGCACTGTTGGAAGCCCAGAAGCTGCGATGCTAGCTGGTGGCCCAGAAACCTCAACAGTTTTCCACGCGCGGAAAGCGCGCACCACATCCACAAGACTATAAACGATTACCAGAGCACTGACGCCTATGACCACAGAGGTGAAAATCGTGACGACATTCTCCGCTCCTTTCGCCGCCTTCCTGGCCTCCTCGGTCAACCTCACCTCGACGAAGCCACTGATAGGTTGCTGGACCATGTTGGTGTCGATAAATGGCGCAGACACTACGCTGCAATTGAGACTTGCTGGCAGACCCGTGTGCGCTGGGCAGGGGTCTTGGCCAATGACTGCGAGGCCCAAATGTTCAGGGGTTGCCCATTTCAACATCTCCTCCTCTGTCGGACTACAAACCATGCCAGTGTAGACACATGTAGGATTGAATGCTGGCGGGGCACTGTCGTTTGGACCAGGGACGAAACAAGGGCCGCTCAACCAACCGCACCACAAGTCGCTGGTAGCCGTAGAGCAGAGTGGCAAACCCATGATCGTCATGCAGACCTCATCAGTTGAGATGGTGTGGGTGTACATCGGGGAGTAGCCCTGCAAAAACAAGGATCCAATGATGCCTGCGAAGGCTGGCGTTTGCATTGCGGTCAGATTAAAAAATACGTCAGCAACAATGTCGCAAGCGCCGTTCGCCTGCAACACCACATCATGCGACGGAGCGCCGTGGCCGATGTGAAACAGATAACGTTCGCTGGTCGTTGTGGAAAACGCCTGAATGTACGTATTCGTCATGCTGTCCTCTTTCTTCGTAGTGATGCTGTACTCATTGGGGTTCTCGCACGCGTTTGTGAGCTGAGTTCCATCAGTACTTGGTAAGGGGATGGTGCACTCAATGGGCGTGAAGAATGGTTTGTAACGCGACTGCTCCATGCACGCGTAAATCAACACGAAGGTTGACGTCAAGATGTTCCACGCGCCGCAACCCATGCGTGCTTTGGGACTGCAACACTTCGCAGCGCACGACCCTGAGCCAACCATTGCAATGACGACTTAATTAGGGATCCAAGAGGGGATTGAGAGGACTCCCTGGTTGACCAGTCGGCTGGAAATGAGTTCGCTTTGGCCAAATGTGAATTCGCTTGAGTCAAAGTGGCTTGAGCCAAAATGGCTACGGAGGGCGAGAGTGCGTGTGTGGAATCAGTTGCGAGAAAAGATTAGGCAGGAACCGTTGAAGCATAATGAATAACAAATTCAGATTGATGGACACCCAGACGCAAACTGTTCTCAGTCGCCTCGGCGCCGGCTGCATTTCTTCTGAATACTAAGCTCACGCCCAGGCACTTCGGGTTTCCAGCCATGCCGACCCACCACCACCACCACCACCACCACCACCCAACAACAACAACAACAACAACAACAACAACAACAGCAGCAGCAGCAGCAGCAGCAGCAGCAGCAACAACAACAACAACAACAACAGCAGCAGCAAAAATCAATTCAAGACTGTTCGCTCTTATCTGATCGAGTGTCCGTTAACACGTATGTCCCAAACCCTCGATACCCATCCTCTTCGTCTTCGATCGTGCCCGTTATGGGGGGTATCTTTCTTACCTGCAGCGCGTACTTCGTGCAGCCCCCAAGGCAGGGGAAAAGACGACGGATGGAAGGAAGGGACAAGGGGCTGGCGGGTTGCTGGAGCGTGCGTCCTGCATGAATCTCGAGGAAATCTCGAGCGATAGCGAGGTTTTTCAAATAAATCGTTAGGAAATCCACAGCGAGAGCGTGATGCCTGAGTGTCGAGGGCGCGACGTCTGAATAAATTGCAAGGACCTCCTACGCGAGAGCGCGATTCTGTATACGTTGTCAGGACGTACGGCAAGAGAGCGCGATTTGGGAACCAATTGTGAAAAAATATCAGGCGGGAGCCGTCGTTGTTGTTCAGGACCCAACCCAATTTGGTGACCCCCACTTTCCTTTGAAAAAACCAAGTGCGAGCCCCGGGAGGAACGTTCCAAATAAGAAATACAATGGCCACTGGGCAGGGGGGATCAGCAATAATTGTTCTTCAGGCATGGGAATATAACGACAACAACAATAAGAATAATTTCAAGACTGCTCGCTCTTACCTGCTCGCGTGCCGTTCGACACGTATTCCCCCAACCCTCGATACCCGCCCTCTTCGTCTTCGATCGTACCCGTTTGGGGGGTGTACCTTCCTTGCCTGCAGGCCAGGCCCCGGCAAGCGGCGGGGCGGTCGCGGACCGTCGGCCGAGCCAGCGGCAGCGCTGACCGGCCGCAGCCTGACCCCAAGAGGGAAGGACAGGGAACCGACCACGACGATGACGACGACGACGACGACGACGAGCGAAAGCGAGAGCGAGAGAGAGAACGACAGCAGGGCCACGAAGGGCACGAAGTAGACCACGGAGGGCGACAGCGGGGACACGAAGGGAATGCGTATGGGGCCACGAAAGGCGCGAACGAGCGGCGGCCACGAGGGGCAGATAATGCGGGGCCACAGAAGGCAACGACGTGGCCACTGAGGGTAGCCACTGGGCCACGTAGGACAGCGAGAGGGCCAGAAAGGGCGACAGCGGGGCCACGACGTGCATGCACATGGGGCCACGACGGGCGAGAACAAGCGGGGGCCATGAAGGGCATACGTATTTTGGGCCGCAGAAAGCAAGGACGGGGCCACTGGCCACTGAGGGCAGCAACGGGGCCACGAAGGGCAGCGAGGGGGCCACGAAGGGCGGCAGCGGGGCCACGAAACGCTTGCATATGGGGCCACGACGGGCGCGAACGAGCGGGGGCCAGGAAGGGCATACATATATGGGGCCACGAAGGGCAGCGAGGGGGCCACGAATGGCTTCAAGGGGGCCACGAACGGCAGCGAGGGGGCCACGACGGGCGACAGCGGGGCCACGAAGGGCAGCGAGGGGGCCACGAAGGGCACACATATATGGGGCCACGAAGGGCAGCGAGGGGGCCACGAAGGGCTGCAACGAGGCCACGAAACAAAGCGATGGGCCACGAATGGCTGCAACGGGGCCACGAAGGGCAGCGAGGGAGCCACGAAAGGCTGCAACGGAGCCACGAAGCGCAGCGAGGGGGTCACGAAGGGCTGCAACGAGGCCACGAAGGGCAGCGAGGGGGTCACGAAGGGCTGCAATGGGGCCACGAAGGGCGGCGAGATCCCGATTCCGAAATAATTTGCGAGGGAGTCCTAAGCGTGAGCGCGACTCCTGGGTGCCTGAGTGTCGGGAGCGCGCGGTTTGAGTAAACTGCGGGACATTCCAACGCAAAGGCGCTATTCTTGAGTAAATTGCAAGCTAGTCTCCAGCGAGAGCGCGAATCCAGAGCGCCGAGAGAGCGATTCCTGAATAAATTGTTGGGAGATCCCAAGCGAGAGAAGAAGTCCTGAATAAAATGCGAGAAAGTCTCGGGCGGGAGCAGGGAACCTGGCTAAACTGTGAGGAAGTCTCAGGCGGGAGCCGTTGTTGTTGTAACCCGGGGGCCAACCACACAATTTGAGGACGAAGAATTCCCCTGATTAGAAACAGGGTGCGAGCGCCGGGAGGGGCACTTCAACTGAAAAATACCATGTGCACCGGAGGGGGGGGGCAACAATACTTATTCTTCAGTAGTGAGAACTCAACAACAACAACAACAACAACAACAACAATTACTAGCACGTGGGGACACTCCGTTCTCACCAGTGCCAGGGTTTTCATAGGAGGCGGGCAATACCCCCACTTTGTGGGGGGGCCGGTTCAAGCTCTACCAAATTTCCAAACGACTCTTCGCCACCACCCACACCCAGCTTCCCGCCCTATGACGTTCGGACACTTCACTTCGTGGCATGCGGACGACCGTGGCTACTATTCAGGGCCCCGCGGCCGACGACGACGGCGTGCGCGCGCGAAGAAAAAACGAATGTGTCCCGCATGGTATTATTTGACAGGGATGATGGCCCTGGCAGGTGCGCAACCGTTGTCGCAGAAGTTCGAAAAAGTTGCTCGCAAAAGCCCGTTTGACAGAAATGTTTAAAAAGTGTTGGGTTTCCTACGAATCCGCAAGAGCGCGCGGGATGAGATTTTGACATTTTTTTGTTGAAAAACCATTGGTTTTTTGATGTTTTTATGTTAAAATCGCTCCGAACACTAAGCTTTTGGAAGGATTTCGTCTTGCGCGCGCGAATGTCCACTTTACCTTATTTTTTGCAAGGGATTCTTGAAATTTGATTATATTAGAACAAGAAATGTCATTTTATAGTGTTTTTTGCAAGGGAAAACGGATTACAACAAAACAACCGGATCTTGATCACATCGTATTACCTGAGGCTTCCTCACGAAAATGATGAAAATGTAGCTGCGGCCTAGGCGGCGCAGGGGGGCCGTGCACCAGGGGCCCCAACAATAATTATTCTTTAGAATTAATAATGTTCAACAACAACAACAACAACAACAACAACAACAGCAACAATGATGTTAAGACGGTTCGCTCTTGTCTGCCCGCGGGCCATTCAACGCGTATTCCCCGAACCCTCAATACCCGATATTCGATCGTATCCCTTGGGATTTTCCCGGAAAAGGCGTAGGCCCAGGGTTCTCTTTTAGTTGATTTACCCCCGGTTCTGACGGGAAGAGGGCCGGCTAAATTATTCTGCGTAAATAACGAAGTAAAGTGCTGATTGTCAATCGAAAAAAGGCGTTTCGTGCGTGCCCGCTCGAAGAAAGTGCGCCCCCCATCTCGGATCCTTGATAAAAAAAGGAGGTCTGCAGACCCCCGTTTTCTATCGTAAAAAATAGGGTGCGGAGCGTTTTTCGCTGAATCCTCGACAAATAACGGGGTCTGGAGCCCCGACCGCAACGCGGAAAAGCACCCCGCGCGCAGGAATTCCAAGGATGTCTCGCACGTGCCGCGTCCCGCGCGCAGGAATTTCGAGGATGTCTCGACTAATTCGCTTGTGTTGCTAGGATTTCTTAAAATTTTGGCAGGATGTCTCGAGCGAAACCCGTTTTTTACATAGTTGGTTGAGGATGTCTCGAAGGAAACGCTGGTTTTGCAAAATTTGGGGATGTCTCGAGCGGGGGATTCGTGGGGGGCCAGAATTCAGAGGATGTCTCGAGCGAAATGTTTGTTTTCACGTCCCGCTCGCAGGAATTCCAAGGATGTCTCGCGCGTGCCACGTCCCCGCGCAGGAATTTTGAGAATGTCTCGACTAATTCGTTTGTTTTGCCAGGATGTCCTTGGATTTTGACCGGATGTCTCGAGCGAAACGCTTGTTTCTCATAATTGGTTGAGGATGTATCGAGCGAAACGCTGGTTTTGCAAACTTGGGGGATGTCTCGAGCGGGGGCCTCGCGGGGGGCCAGAATTCAGAGGATGTCTCAAGCGAAATGTTTGTTTTCACATCCCGCTCGCAGGAATTCCGGGGATGTCTCGCGCGTGCCACGTCCCGCGCGCAGGAATTTTGAGGATGTCCCGTAGCGCGTCCCCTTGGCACGTCCTACCGTGCGACCCCATGGCACGTCCCTTGGCACGTCGCCTGGCGCGTCCCTTGGGACGTTTCGCGACGCGTCCTCCTGGCATGTCCCCCTGTCAATTAGCTCTGGGGCAGCAACTATGTGTTCAGGCAGCTAGCTCGAGCTTCAGATCCAGATCAGTTCGGTCAGGACTCGGATGCAAAGGAAGACTCGATCCACGACGCTATAGAGCACAACCGCGGCATGGCACATCGCAATTCAGCACGGTGCAGCACAGCACAGCCCTCGGCACGGTACATCAAGATCGATACAATCAGCATTGCACTTGCCATTCACCCAATCAGGTGTCTTTGAAAACGCTGCCATGCGTTACATTTCTATATTCCTTTCCGGGTTCGTGGGTCGATCATGTTTCCCCCACCTGCAGCGTGTATTTCGTGCAGCGTCTACAGCAGGGGAGGAGAGGAAGATGGAAGGAAGCGACAAGGGGGAGGGAGGAGGATGGAACACAAGAGAAAATGGCAGGAAGAGAGTTAAGAGCAGAAAACACGTAACGCAACCACACGGGCAGATCGGGCGGGTAGACCCTAACAAGCGGGTCGGCAAGGCGGGCCCACTCGGCCAGGTCGAGCATGCGAAGTGCTGAAGCGTCGTCCTGCATGGATCGCGAAGTAGGTCCGAGCGACAGCGCAATTCCTAAGTAAATCGTGAGGACATCCACAGCGAAAGCGTGATTCCTGATCGTCGGAGGCGCGACGTCTGAAAAATTGCAACGGTGTCCAACGCGAAAGCGCGACTTCTGCATACAGTGTGAGGAAGCCCCACG